CTGCTGCTGCTGCTGATGATGATGATGATGATGATGATGGTGATGATGATGATGATGATGATGTTCATGATGAGGATGACGACGACGATGACAACGATGATGATGATGACGACGACGATGACAACGATGATGATGATGACGACAACAACGATGATAACGCTTACTCGACAGAAGTAGGCGTCATCCTTGAACATGAGCTTGCACTGTCTGTCAGCGTTGTAGAGAGATCCCAGCTGTGGGGCACTTTTCTTCTGGATAGCAGTTGCCTTCAGGCAGTTGGCGCCATCACTTTAAAGTGTGCACGTGGTACCAAGTTTGTGAGGAAAAAAACAGGGCGGGGAAGAAAGGGAATTGGATTTTTACAATTCCTATCATTTACCCCCTAAATGTAAGCCCCTCAACGTTTTGCACCCGAAAGGATGCTGAATAATTCTGGGCCGTAGGTCTCTGTAGTCTACCCTAAAGGCGCAATATTATAATTATCTATCAGTATTCCAAGACTACCTCGAACCTGACCATCCGTGCACGCCCATGAATCAGAAACCCAGGGGAACTAGTATTATCAGGGTCGGGGCGCCAGGCTTCAAAATAAAGGATTAATCAAGAATATGGTATTGTTGTTGACATTGGTGAGCCAGAAAGCGAATAGAACTACAAAAGTCCAGACACAAAAGAAAAGAGGATAATAAGCTACCACTTGAACAACATTTTGATTCGGTCTGTGAGTAAATACGGGAGGTTAGTGTGTTGACCGAATACTCAAACGAACAACCTCGGACCCAACGAAATGGTCCGCTCTGAAAGCAACTTGACCTGAGGAGACTTTTTAAAAAATATTCCTGTTGACTAAGCAAACTGCATTTACTATGGGCCTGAATATTCCACATGTTTCGTTCGCCATATCAAGTGGTTTGTCACCGTTTGCAATAACCTGTCAGAGGGGATAATTTATTAAATTATTGTCATGTGACCGGTTCGAGGCCCTCTTTCACAGACATCAAATACATTACGGTTGTACCCGCTCCTAGTTGGAGCCCTGATGGTGTATTTCGTACCGCCCCCCACCCCCTCTATTTTCAAATCGACCCTGAAATTTACGCTGGCAAGCTGTTCAAATGTACAAAGCGGGAAAACAAAATTATTAATGAGATAGAAACAAAAACTGTTTCATTCTTTATACAACATTGTACACATAGATCTACCTACATTTAATATTAGTATATATTTTTCATGCTTTTTTTTAACATTTAGAATTCGAATTTCGACAAAATTTTTCTTCAGCACATGCAACCGATACCATAGATTAAGAAGAACCTGCAATTGTAAAATAAAATGTCAAAAGTTAGCCTTAGTACATCTGAACACAACAGCTGTCTGACGTATTCATTTAAACACGTTATTGTTTAAATGCAGAAATATGTCACTGTACTTTTCAAGAATGAGCAGATCCTCCCGTATGGAGTTGGCGGAGCAGGGGCTGAAGTACCAACGGTTGGTGGAGTTGATGTCTGGTCTCTCGGACATGATGAAGCCGTCCTTGTCGCTGCAAGTGTTCTTCTCGCCGTCATGGTTACAGCCCAGGCTGAGTTA